GCACGCACGCACGCACGCACGCACGCACGCACGCACGCACGCACGCACACACACACACACACACACGTACTGTATATATACAGGGTCCCGGAGTCAGAAACAACATGAGTGTTAACATTAGCCTCAACGTTCACTTTGTCCCGTAGAGACCGTCGACAGAAACATGGTGAAATTACCCATGTGCAGTTATGAGAAATATCGTACTACGATATATGATATATAATATATATATATATATATATATATAGTAGAAAGTTCTTAGGTTGCACGATATTCAGTTGTTTTACACTCCATTTAGTTTTACACGAGCGCTTTCATCTTTATAGACTCTTCAGGTGCATGTATAATATATATATATTTATGAGACCGATTTTGTTTCTGACAACAAGCCCCACGCCGGGTTAGTAACACACCATAAAGTCCCGCTAGGAACTTCCAACACTTTCACAGACGTGTTCTAAGGAGAAAGCTATAACGCCTGAGACACACACACACGTCGGACGAGTAAACGTGAACACGGTAGTCACAGAAGAAGTATTTTAGCACAAGCGTTTTCAGACACGATACATCGACGTATACACATATATATACGTATATATATATACATGCATAAAAAGACTTAAATTAATTAGATCCCTAACGACGCAGCACACACCCACTTGTTTACAGTACAGCGACTTTCGGTCGTGCGCGAGCACGTTCTATTGTTTCGCGTACTACACGAACCTTGTGATTGGATCTGGATATGTAGCGGGTGCGATGGGTCCTCTATGTAACTCCCTCTATACTCATACTGTCCACTCGGCAGCGCAGTCTCGTCTGTAACCACGGCAACGCGGGAAAAACAACTTAACGGATGCCAAACAACTTAAATTAATGTATAAGCATGAATACGTGAATACACCGTGTGTCCACGTGGCCCACACGCAGAAATACAAACTTAAAACAATACGTAGACACGAACATGTCCGTGTGGCGCCACCTATCCCCAACATATACGTCTTCATCAGATATCCTTTTCAAACGTGCCCCGTGGCGCCACCTACCCCCGGCACGCGTGACATGCGGCGCCACCTACCTGTGTTCGTAGCGCTGAGTTCGTCGCTGCGTTTGCGGGTGTGGTAGATGATGATGACCCAGACTAGCGATGTCCCGACGACGCAGCAGACGACCGCGATGATGATGACGCCCGTCGTCGTACTGCTGTCAGACAGTGCTGCCACCGGTGGCGGACGCTGCGTCGGATCTGTAACGCACGGGCGGAAAATCTCGTTAGTCAAATGATTATTCTCCTTATAATTAGATGATTATAATATTATTATAATTATAATAATCCTTATATTCGCCGTATTATCTTCCGTTATAATTGGTTTTCATAGACGTTCTGTTGTTATTACGCCTGAATGCTTAACAGCGTTTAACTGTCAACAGTTAACTGTTCAATTGTTAAATTTAAGCGACCGCAGCCAATCATTTCCGTAGCGTCGTAGCATCATCGCACCGCTACAGAGGGCGCCACCGCGCGCGTACATTGCCACAGAGGGCGCCACTCACCTGCGACGACCTGCAGGGTTGACGATCCTCGCTCGGTGCCGAGAGTGTTTGACATCTCGCACGTGTAGACTCCGGCGTCATCGCCGTGCGCCGCTACAATGATCAGCAGCTGTTCATCCGCCGTGAAGAAATGTCGCTCCGTCACCCGCAGCGGCTCCCCGTCCTTCAGCCACGCCACCTACGGGAGAGAAACGCAATCAATCGCGTGTCGTCGCGCCGGTTTTTTTATTGTTTAGCATATTTTACGTAGTTTTAACGTGCGATAAAAAATTGTCCAGATGTTGTGTCGCTATCTCAATTCTCAAATGTTTTTTTCTGAATCTTTTTTCTGTAAAATTAGCTAAATGACGGCTAATAAATGCCTTGGATAAAAACCTTGGGTTTGGGGCTGGCCGCTTTTTTGTTAAGTGTATTTCACATAGTTAAATGTATTTTATATACATACATGTATATATATATATATATATGTATACGTACCTTAGGTTTGGGGCTGCCGTTGGTCATACACTCCATGACGGCTGTGTCGCCCGCTCGAGCGTTCTTCCCTTCCATCGGCTTCACGAACGATGGCGGCTCTGCAACGACGAGAGAGAGAGAGATGCGTGTTACGAGAGCGACACCCACACACAGACGCTTGCTTAGTTACGGGAGCGACACCCACACACAGACGCTTGCTTAGTTAGCCTGCAAACAACTGGTTCTATAGCTACCCCACCCCAGACTCACATCTACACCTCCCTGTAGACACACACACACACAGGGGCTTAGCTACGTACCCAGTACTGTGAGCGTGGCGTTGTGAGCGATGCGTCCCGCGGAACTGTTGGCGGTGCAGCTGTAGGTTCCCGCGTCGGCGCGGTTCACGCGCACGATGAAGAAGACGTCGTCCTCGGGGAGAACCCGCATCCTCCTCTGCTGCGCGGCGGGGAAGTCGTCTCCTCCATCCTTCTGCCACGCGATGACGGGGGAAGGTTGTCCTCGCGCCGCACACTCCAGCCGCGCCGTGCTGCCTGCCTTCACCGTGATGTCTACGGGTGTCTTGGTGAACGTGGGAAACACTGTGCGTGAGAGAGAGATGGATGGTTAGTTAGTGTGTTAGGGAG